TGATATGATATTGATATGTAATAAGTCCCAAACATCATGTATAATCACTGCATTAATTATTGTAAAAATCGTCAGCGTTTTATAAGTCCTCTCTTAAAAATAACACAGCAGACAGGTGCAGTGCGGGGCGGGCCCTTTGTTCATTAAAGCATCCATTTATTAGCAAGAAAGGCCCTTTAGAAAGGAGTAAGCTCTTATCTTTAAGTAAGTCCCCAGGTCGTATCGGTACGGGAAAATCGTCGGTGGTAAACTATTCAACAGAGAGGTCGTACGCGGAAGAAAACTCCTTGTGAAACGTACAGTGATGGACCGCCAAGCATCCAGATGGTGTGGATGGTTTCGGGACGTTTGCCGTGTAGTGCGTTCACGAAATTTGGCGGCTGGGATTAATCCGAACAATTCCTCAGATCACTCCCCATGGTATATGTGAAAGAAAATGTAAAGAGATGCAACATCTCTTCGCAGCGCCAGTGAATCGAGCCGATCGGAAAGCACTCAGTCGTCGATGATTCGAGCCGCTCTGCGCTGGATGCGGTCAAGTGGAAGGAGCTGGTACTGGGGAGCCCCAGCCCAGAGATGGGGACAGTATTCCATGTGCGACCAAACCTGCACCTTGTAAAGTTGCAGGCAGTAAGCCGGCACAGTATTTCATACTGTACCGCTCTGCTGAGAACGTCAAGCTTTTTAGCGGCCAATTTGGCCTTCTCTTCCAAGTGACCACGAAACTGCACGTCACTCAATACGTCGACGCCAAAGATTCCGATAGCTGAGGCAACAACGGAAGTGCCTTGAAACGTAGGAGATACGACAAAGGGGTCCTTTTTTAGCGGTTAACGCGCAAAATTGTATCTTCTGAGGGTTACACTGGACTAGATTTAGTCGCCCACAATCCGAGACTCTGTTCAGCAAAGACTTGACTTCAGTCACAAGTTTGTCCTGATACTCGGAGACGTTTTCCCGAGAAATATTGGCATGGCCGGCGTACAGAGCATCACCAGTGCTGTGCTGCATAGCAATGAATGTTACGGGTTTGCAACATATCATTGATATGCAGAAGAAACAGCGTTGGCGATAGCACGCAGCCTTGTGAAACACCAGCATTGTAATTGGAGCACTTAATTTGTAATTTTAAAAATTTAAAAAAATTAAAAAAAATTGTAATTGCACCGTTTACAATGACCTTGATGCTCCGATCTGCAAGAAAGCTGGTGATCCAATCGCACAATTTCTCGGGAAGTCCATAGGAAGGGAGCTTCGAAAGGAGCGCTTTGTGCCAAACCCGATCGAAGGCCTTCGCAATGTCCAAACTAACGGCCAATGCCTCCCACTTGGACTCTAGTGCCCGCGCCCATCTATGAGTTAGGTAGACCAGAAGAGCACCAGCTGATCGACCACGGCAAAAACCGTATTGGTGATCACTAATCAGTTGATGATCCTCAAGGTACCTCATGAGGTGGCAGTTTACAATGGACTCCATTGTCTTGGAGAACAACGAGGTGATGGCGATAGGCCTGTAGTTGGACGGGTCTGAGCGGTCGCCTTTTTTAGGGATCGGGTGGACGAAAGCTGTCTTCCATGACTTTGGGACTACGCCTAGGGAGTAGGAGTGTTTTTACTAGTGAGCCTTGATTGTATCTCGCAATAGATAACTATTTGGACCAAAATCATGGACAGATTGCTGGCTTCAAATTTCACGTGTTTCGTTCAGAATATATATATATAAACACTCACGCCTGTCACCCAGAGGGGTAGGCAGAGACTACGGACTTCCATTTGGCACGATCCTGACATACCTCTTTCGCCTCCTTTACATCCATATATCTACGCATACATGCTCGTCGGTTAAGGGTACTTCTAACGTGGCCCATTTTCAAAATATCGCCAATTTGGTCGATAAACTTTTTTCTAGGGCGTCCCTTCCCGACTCGGCCGTTCACATCAGCCATATAAATTTGCTTTGTCACTCTTTCCTCATTCATTCTTTCTACATGACCAAACCACCGAAGCATTCCTTTCTTAATCCTGGTCACATCATCTTGCATACCACATTTATCTCTTATCACACAATTTCTCACCCTGTCATTCAGATTCTACCTTAGCATATTCCTTAAGGACCGCATTTCTACAGAATTTATTCTAATTTCGTGCTTCTTCTGCCACACCCAGCTTTCACTACCATACATTAAAGTAGGGGCTAACACAGCATTATGAATTACCATACGTGCCTTTTTTGACACATTCTGGTTCTTCATAATAGAGTGTAGTCCCCCATTCACTCTACTCCCTGCATTTACTCGTCGTTCTATATCCCTATCATATCTACCATCCCTGCTAAATACACATCCCAAATACACAAACTCATCCACTTGCTCAATTAACTCTCCTTCTATTCTTATTTCACATACCGTTTATGTTTACCCATGTACTCACACGCACACGCAAATACAAGCGAAATGAAGTTGAAAAACTGAAATTAGGATGTTTTTTAATTTTAATAGCCTCACGAACCATCCTAGGTGCTAATCGGTGTTCTTATGCGAGAATTTGTGGTCTATTATATCTATGCAGGGTCGATCTTGAACATGTTTTGCATGAACAGACTGCAGAATTCCCTGGAACGTCGGTGCTTCAAATTAGCTATATTTTCTTTTACGTGGGCTCTTGTATATCTTTTTGTTGGTCCTATGACGTACCTCGTACGAGAGACCACATTCACAATCAAGCTTGCACACTCCAGCATCTTGTAGATGATGAAGATTGGCAACATTTTGAAGCGAGCTTTCATTAAAACCTACTACAAGCCGCCGAATAACATAAGCCAATTTTTACCATCCGCCAAGTGCAATATCCCTGTACAAGATGCATGAGTGTACAAGCTTGACCTAGTTTCAGCTGTCCAAAATGTGCAAAGACAAATTGTGTTGAAGAAGGCTTTGACATTAAATTATGTGTAAATGCGCCTAAGCTCTCTCGGACCGTGTCGGTCGTGTCGTGCGATTTGACGATTGTGAGGGAAAAGAGAGCATTTGGACACATATCTGTACTGTGCAGATGGCTAGTCTCTTAGTGGCCGCTGTGACAAAAATTCGGTTGGGACTCAACCCATCAATCCAACAATCAACCCAACAATCAACCCAACAATCGACCCAACAATCGACCCAACAATCGACCCAACAATCGACCCAACACATCGACCCAACAATCGACCCATCAATCGACCCAACAATCGACCCAACAATCGACCCAACAATCGACCCAACAATCGACCCAACAATCGACCCAATAATCGACCCAAAAACCGACTCAACAATCGACCCAACAATCGACCCAACAGGTCGATTGTTCCCCAACTATCGACCCAACAATCGACCCATCAATCGACCCAACAATCGACCCAACAATCGACCCAACAATCGACCCAACAATCGACCCAACAATCGACCCAATAATCGACCCAAAAACCGACTCAACAATCGACCCAACAATCGACCCAACAATCAACCCAACAATCGACCCAACAATCGACACAACACTCGACCCAACAATCGACCCAACAATCGACCCAACAATCGACCCAACAATCGACCCAACAATCGACCCGACAATCGACCCAAAACAATCGACCCAAAAATCGACCCAACAATCGACCCAACATTCAACCCAATAATTGACCCAACAGTAGACCCGATAATCAACCCAAAAATCAACCCAAAAATCGACCCAACAATCGACCCAACAATCGACCCTCAATCGACCCTACAATCGACCCAATACCCAACAATCGACCCAACAATCGACCCAATAATCGAACCCAACAATCGACCCAAAAATTGACCTAACAATCGACCCAACAATCTACCCAACAATCGACCCGACAATCGACCCAACAATCGACCCAAAAATCGACCCAACAATCGACCCAACAGATCAACCAACAATTGAAACAACAATCGACCCAACAATCGACCCAATAATCGACCCAACAGATGACCCAACAATCGATCCAACAATCGACCCAACAATCGACCCAATAATCAACCTAACAATTGAAACAACAATCGACCCAACAATCGAACCAACAATCGACCCAACAATCGACCCAACAGTCGACCCAACAATCGACCCAACAATCGACCCAATAATCGAACCCAACAATCGACCCAAAAATTGACCTAACAATCGACCCAACAATCTACCCAACAATCGACCCAATAATCGACCCGACAATCGACCCAACAATCGACCCAAAAATCGACCCAACAATCGACCCAACAGATGACCCAACAATCGATCCAACAATCGACGCAACAATCGACTCAAAAATCGACCCAACAAGCGACCCAGCAATTGACCCAACAATCGGCCCAACAATCGAGGCGATATATCGCCTATTATATAGGCGAGGGAATTTATATTTTTATAATTTTTGCTGCATTTATGTGATTATTGGTTACATATCGTCGGCCTAATTATAAGAATGCGTAACTCCAAAATATGTTTATTTTTTGTTTTAATGTCATCTATCGGTAAATCTTAAAACGCATCTGATAGTATACTTCGTATCTCCCGCGGAAAGTTGTTTAAAAAGTTATTCGACATTTATAAAAATAAGTAACTCCACGACGCCATTATGTTGTTTGCAATATTCGTAACTCCCGCGTTTAGTGCGCCTTGAGAGCTTCGAGGTGTGGACGTCACGTCGTCGGTTAACTTTTTAGACAAATATTGTGATAAATGTGATTATTTAGATAGAATAGAGTAGAAGGTGAGTTTGTTTCATGTTATTATTTGATCTAGCTATTAAATTTTGCAATTAATAAGCGAAATTAGTTATTTTGCTATGGGATGGAGTTAAGAAGTTTGATTGTTTGCTTAACTTTGCGTTGTGACTGTTTGCCATGGAGATACGAACTTTGAATTTATTGAATAGTAATTTGTTTTTTACTTTGTCTAACTCTAAGCATTATTTTCGTTGTTTTAGTTAAATACATAACTACATGATGTTGCAAAATTCACGCGCCGCAAAAATACTCCGGAATATTCCGCCCGAAAAACTGAGCATCGAACCAGGATGCTACGTGGTACAGTGTGACAATTCAATAGTGTTGGAAGATCAGCCGCAGCTCATGATTAGAAATGATGGATCTCATCAAGGATCCACAAACAGAGATTCTGCAAGTAGCATTCCTGTTGTATTAGATTCAGATCTACAGTCATCAATAACTGAATGTGTTACTCTGAATCCCATAGAAACGGTTGAACCTGTAGTGGTACAGTGTGACAATTCAATGGTGTCGGAAGATCAGCCGCAACTCATGATTAGAAATGATGGATCTCATCAAGGATCCATAAACAGAGATTCTGCAAGTAGCATTCCTGTTGTATTAGATTCAGATCTACAGTCATCAATAACTGAATGTGTTATTCTGAATCCCATAGAAACGGTTGAACCTGTAGATATTTCTACGCCGAGGTTATCAGAAGAACACACTAAACCAGGATGCTCCGTGGTACTAACAGATAATTATAAAGTATTGAGGGACTGCCCCTTTAACATCTTAATTAATAATGATAGATCTATCTGCCGAAGATCCACGAGCCAAGATTCTTTAAAAAGCATCAGCTCTGTTTCATTAGATTCGGATCTAACGTCATCAGAAACAGTTGAGCAGACTATCACTACCTCGTCAACGCATCCAAGAAAAAGATAAAAGAAAAGTGAACCCCACCAATGGGACGCAAATAAAAACAAGGAACAAAGAGAAAAAGGTAAGGCTTATTTAGGAAAGAAGAAGAGAGGAAATAAATGGGACTTTACTGAACCTAAGTCCGTGAGAGAGATGAAAAGTAGATGCAAATGCAAATTAAGCTTGAAAGGAGATACCAAGATGAACTGTGATAAAATACCAGAAGAAGAAAGACAAACAATGTTTGAGAAGTTTTGGAAAATGAGTTGGAAGGAAAAGAAGGTGTTTGTTAAAATGTCTTCGATTTCTAAGAAAAAAGAAAGAGAGAGGTGTGCTGGTACATCATCTAGATGGAAAAACTCTGTAGAGTTATATTTAACTGATAGCACGGGGATTCGATTTCGGGTCTGCAAAATCATGTTCCTTAACAGTTTAGGTGTTGGGAATGGGTGATAAAGAAGTGGATTATTAATGAAGATGATCCAAAAGATGCACCGAAAAATAATACCAAAGTGGAAGCTAAAAACAAGTTACGCAAGTTTTTTGATTCCATGCCAAAACTTGAATCACACTACTGCCGAAAATACTCATCAAAGTTGTATCTTGAACCAATCTGGACATCAAAATCTCAGCTCTATGAAACTTACAGAAAAGACTTCTGTGTCAGAGAGAACCTTGAGCCATTAAGCATTACCACCTTTTTCAACATGTTTGAAGCACTTAATTTGTCTTTATTTAGCCCAAAAAAGGACTTGTGTGATATTTGTGAGTCTTAGTTAGAGAGCATTATTTTTCGTTAATCCCCCCCTATATAAAAATGGAATAATAAAACTGCGTAAGTCATCTGCATTGTATAAAAACTGATAAAAATGTAAAAGTAAAACTGCGTATATCCTAGAAAAAGTCGAAGTCCAACTTGAATAAAAATTAAAACTCCTAAGTCCATTATTTTATAAACTACCTGCAAAATCAATAATATTCTTAGTATAAAATGAATCTACACTCATTTTGACCTCAAAGTAACAGCGACGTTATAAAAATATCACCGACCCAGCAAAACTGTTCTCGGACCTTCATGAGAGTTCGTTTAACTCCCAGATGGACTCTTGAACGATCATCATGACACAGCTGTAGAACATTCGGCACTTTAGCCTTAGGGACAACCATTTGCAAACGACAGCTGTCTCCTCGACCATTGTCCCATTTACGGCACAGGACTCCATCCTGAATCAGCAAGCCGTCCCACTGGGCCCAATAGCCTCGAATAGTCGAACTCATCGCTGAGACGTCGCTCCACTTAGGCTTGGTAGCACGGGCCTTCATCCATTCCAGAATCGGCTTGATGTCCGGATCTTCCTGCTGTGCATGTCGTAGGCTGTCCTTCCACTCGTTGCTAAGGTGGTCTGTCCTGAGTATCCTCACGGATACCACTTCCTTACTCTTTTGCCTAGTACAATGTTTCCAATCTTCAGGACAAGTTCTTCTTGACAATGCATCTGCGTTGCCATGAGATTTCCCGCTGCGATGTCTGATAGTAAAGTCGTATCCCGGCTGCTGCTGAGCGGTGATGTTAGCCGCACTTCCCTTCTGAGATCGTTCACCTTCCCTTTCTAGGGTTCGCTTAGGGCAGCTGGATCGAATATAGCCCCTTTCCCCACAGCCATAGCACCTAGTGCTGTATCTTTTATTGTGGTCGCGAACCGTAACTGCTGCAACCTCCCTAGCGCGAGGGGAACGACGATCCTGCCACCGCCAGGTGGTGCCGTTAGCTGCACTACCCTCTCGAGATCGATCAACTTGCCTTTCTACAGTTCGCTTAGGGCAGCTGGATCGAAGATGGCCCCTTTCCCCCACAGCCATAGCACCTAGGGCTGTATCCTTTGTTGCGGTCGCGAACTATAGCTGCTGCAACCTCCCTGACACGATGGGAACGATGATCCTGCCGCACGGCTTCCACCTCCAGTGCATGGGCCAAGGCGTCCTTAAGCGTTTCGTGGTGCCAGAGCCTCACAGCAGCTCTGCCTCCAATGCCTCAAAGAGTTGCTCATAAGTCACTTCCTCACCGAGAGCTTCCAAAACTGTTAAGGCCAGGTCGCGCAGGCCTAGTGTGAGAGCAGTCATGGCCCGACTTTTATTCCAGCCGTTTGCCTTCATAACAGCCTCGAACTGGATTTTTTAGGCTGACCAGGAAGAAGTCCCGTCGAACGGCGGCACTTTGTCTCCATGTAGCGAAGGTGTTGTAGCTACTACGGGAGCTGTTGTTCCATCCCCAAGTTTGAGGTCGTCCAGCGTTTTCTTCACGTCAGCCATCACGTTGTCAACCCAATTTTTCAGGAAAGCTCCCCTCGCTCTCGTCCCCGACACTAGATGGCGCTAGTGCGGGGTACATGACGTCAACTTAGGCGCGTAACAATACTTTACAGAAATGGTATTAAGCCAATGATTTTTATTAAAATCTGTAGACCAAGTTGGATATTTCCCACTTTTTTTTTTAATTTCCCTTCGCTAGGTCTTAATATTATTTACTTACTTACTTACTTATCTTCACGCACAATCCCTAACGGGGTAGCCAGAGAGAACAGATCGCCAAGTGTCACGACCTTACATACCTCTTTAATTATTAATTATTTATTAATATATCTTAGGATATTCATTACTTACGTTAGGCTATTTATTACTTACGTTCGGCTATTTATTCTTTGACGACTCCGTGGTGCAGTAGCTTAGCAATGAGTGGCTGCGCTGGGTGTCGCGGGTTCGAATCCCGCACGGAACAAGTATTTGTATGGCCTACAAATTGTCGTTCCGGGTCTGGATGTGTGTCCTTGTGCAATTTATGTTTGTAAACTGTCCCTACGATACAAGAGAAAATCTTAGTGTACGGGTAAGGTTTAAAAAAATAAGAAAAAGAAATAAGAATTTATTACTTACGTTACGGTTCCCACTTTTTTTTACGAATTTCCCTTAGCTGGGTCTTAATATTAATTATTCATTAATTATTAATTATTTATTAGTATTTCTTAGGATATTCATTACTTACGTTAGGCTATATTTATTACTTACGTTCGGCTATTTATTACTTACGTGAGACTATTTTATTAGTTACGGTAGGATAGATACCGTACAGAATTCCTCCTTACAATGGGAGGAGACTGTGTTTAGCAGTGGTCAAAACAAAAGATATAAGGCGATGGCTGTAAGCCATGAAGGCGCATCCATCGCAGGCGCAGATAATCTTGAAAGATAAAATACATTGAAAGAAAATAAAGTCTTCCAGGGTAAAAATGGCTATAACAACAATATATAAAGCAAGAATTGGTACAAAAAACATTATTGTTTTTTGTACCAATTCTTGCTAAAGCGAAATCTTTAGAGGAACTAAAATTAAATAAGTTACACTACCTACTCGTGAATAAGGTATCAGTCATCAGTTCGCTACAAATTTTTTGCTAATGCTAATCGCATTTTTCGCATTTTTTACATTAGCTTTTTATTCGTTTTTTCTTTGACTAAATATTTTTCTATACATTAATAATGTACAGAAACTCATATACATGTAGGTATATAATTCAAAAGGAACAAGGATGCCATGCGGCCGCGTTTTTGCGTATTTGACGCAACTGCCCTAGAAGCCAGAAGGGGGGAAATGTTTTTCGAGTGTGTATATGTGAATGTGTGTATAATATGTATGTATGTATGTAAAGACTAGACATACATACTTATTATACTGCTATGGTACACTCTGCAACCTAAACTTGATTTGTAACCTAGGCTTGATGGATTTTTACATAATATTATGAGGGAAGTCGTTAGATTCATCTTAGTTGCTATTTTATTCCTTACTTATTTTTGAGAATTAATTTTTTAAAGTTATAAAATGTTAAATAATTTATTAAATTTTTCTCGTTTCAGTAGATACTTTTAAGCAGTTAGGTTTCTTAATTACTGGATTTACATAATTTAGACGAATATAAAATAAAATTTCTGATCCAGTTTTAAAATACACTAATAATATCAATAAAAGTACGTTATATTGAACTTAAAATACAAAAAAATAAACATTTGTTTACAAAATATTCTATCAAAACATGGCCGGCGCGTGTATTAAAAAAAATAAAAGCTCTTTTATAGTTGTATCATACACTTATTAAAACAGAGTATTGGAGAATCCATGTAACAGCACAATCATAAGCAGCTGAAATGAGTTTATTAGCTAAGGTTTCTATACAAGTGGACCCAATTGTAATAAAATTTTCCTATACAATTGGGTTCACAAATGACAAAATTAATTATTAAGTTATGATTCTACGAAATATATATGTAAATATATATCCATTATTTCGAATTTGAGTTTATTTAGTTATCTTTTAGTATAAAGAGTTTCATTTTATAATCCACGTGGTAGCGCCATACTGAAACTTTATTACGATTACTAATAACCTAAATAATAGGTTAGTTTGATCGGTTGAATAATCAGTGAAATCTGAACAGTTACTACTCGTGTACAAATTATTCCAATCATTGTGGGGTTCATTTAAATGGCATTCACAAATACGAGCGCACAGTGTCACATAAAATGAGTGATCAATCAGCAATCTCTCTTTAAGTAGTTAAGGTATTAAGAATGTATATGAATGATTACATAACTGAAAAATACAGTGACGGGAAGTAGAAGCAGCCGTAGTAATTGTTGATACCGCTCTGGAAATGGCAGGAGTTACAGGTGCAGGTATAGGGGGTGGTTGTGGGATGTTACCGATGTCTTCTATATTCATGGATTGTAACTCCATATCCCTGTTCTCATTTTGTTGTCTCTATCTCCATACAGCTCCGGAAGCCCTCAGCCAGCAAGGACTGCATACTCGTTCTAAACGATCCACCTGAAAATATTTTTTTTATCAATTAACAGAATGAACGATAGTTTTAGAGTGTCTACTCTAAATATTAATAATATTTATTATTGTTCTATTCATTTCAATCTTTCTATCACTAAATAGTTTTGATGTCTTTGAAAATTATAAATA